CCCATCTCTCTCTCTCTCTCCTTCAAAAAAAGGGCCATCTCTCTCTCTCCCTCTTCCTCTCCCTCTCCCTCTCCCCTTCAAAAGAGGGCCCATCTCTCTCTGTCTAGGATTGTGCATGTATTTGACCAAGACATATCATGACAAGAGGGAGCTCTCTATGCCACCAACCTAGGACACCATTCACAAATCTAAGCCCTTCATCTTTGTAGAGAAGGCCCTAAACTCCTTCCTCTCACCCCTGTGGCCCTTACAAAACCCTAATTAAGTCTCCCATGAGTTTCTCACCAAACCCAAGATTTTTTTTTCTTCTGCCTAAGATTTTGAGACTCTATAGGATTCATCCCCTCAAATCCTATCACCCACCTCATATTCAATCACCCCAACTTGCACCATCTTTCAATATAATGAGTGTAGAACCCTCTTTTTCATCTCAAAAAAAAGGTAGAATCCTCATTCACTTTGGACCCCAATAGGCTCCTTATTCATTGCTAAAAAATGCCACCAAATTCCATTGAAGGCAAGCATTTGGCACCCCCAACTGAAGGTCTTCAAAGAACCATTTCTGATGTTTCATATGAAGTTGGAAGGATCAGTAAGGAGATAGGTCTCATTTCCATTGATGAGGTTGAGAGAGCTGAGTGTGAATGCTGTGGTCTATGTGAGGACTACACACCAGCTTACATAGGCCATGTTAGGGATTTCCATTGTGGAAAATGGGTTTGTGGGCTTTGCTCTGAGGCTGTGAAAGAGCAAATGCACAAGTCCTCAAGAGAGGATATTGAGCAGGCTGTAGGGACACACATGGCCCTCTGCAGGAGCTTCAAAGTGAACCCCTCTATCTCTCTAGCAAGATCCATGAGAGAGATTGTCCTGAGAAGGATGAGAGCGAGGGAAGCGGGCGGTGACCCAAACGGTTATTTTGGGCCTTCGAGGAATGGGATCGCACGGAGTAGGAGCTGCGTCCCAAGGATTGACATTTTGAGGGATAGTTACAGTCGTGAAGAAACAAATTTATGAGTATGGTTTTTCGGGTGTATCTTGGATTGTAAATTTTGCATGGTTTCAATAAAGTTGTAGACTTTCTTAGTGCATAGAATGAAATTTCAAATAATATCACCATTCATGTATGTTTGTGTGCATCTAGGTGTATATTGGTACCTTGAGCTCTGCGAGAGAGAGAGATGTCTATGTGCTTGGAGCTCACTAACTGTTCATTCAGTTCTAATCAATCTTGCCTTATGATACATGATGTACTAAAAACTCAATAGTATTGTTTGGCATTGACCTTATTTAGCACATAAGCCTCAACTCTATTAATTTCATTGTGCTAGTCTTCAACTCTAACATTTGTTTCATAATTTTCCGTTTACTTATCTCATTACAATACCAGCAAATACTCTACAATATGTAACAATCAAAGAGTATTTACTAATTTCTCTTCATAATTTTTAGCATATCCCTGCCTGAGTTGAGGCCATTAAATGATGTATCAGTCTGGTTGCTCTCATACTTTAAGCTTGATTGCAAATATTTGTAGCTTTGCTAATTTGTTTGTCATCTCCAAATATTAATTTTTCTCTTTACTTTTATTTGATGGGTTTGTATGCCATGCTAACTTCTGGTTATCCAACAATCTTCTTTCAGCTCATCAACCGTCCATGGACAACAACGGACGGTTAACAGACTTGAGTCGACACCTCTCAACCAACTCTCTCTCACTTTCTTCTTCTTCCTTTTTTTTTTTTATCCTCAACCATCTCTTATTGAAATTAGAAGGTTGAGGGATTTTAGCGACTTGTTTGAAACACGAACGCTAGCGAACTAAAGCCTGCTTTATTTTTTATTTATTTTTGGATAATTCAGTGAGGAGGACATGCTCCTGCTCATTTTTTTTCAAATAATTTAGTAGTTAGGTTTTTGAAATGGTTAGTGGGGAGGTGTGAGTGGGAATAAAAATAACAATGTAGTCAATATAGTCATTGAGGTGTGGGGGAGCTTTCTTTACTTGATTATTGGTAAGATTCATGCCTACGCTATCCCAGTAATAGTTTCCAATAGGATTCAAATTTACCCTTTAATTAATATGCTCCAAAAATTTCATATCTACATTATCAACATAGGAAAATCAGATGTTATGGGAAACGGGCTGCGGTCGTGGTGGTAGCAGGCCCACACCCTAGTTATTACGTTGTGATTTTTATTTTCATTGATACCACCATATTACTACTTTCAAAAACCTAATTAAAAAAATGGATAAGGGCTGTCTTTCCCCACTGAATAACCAAAAAAAAAAGAAAAATCGGTACGTTATAATAGTAAATAAGAAAATAAAATAAAATAACAATAAAATGTGGCAAGTTTTATTTTCAACAATTTGCAATTTGTTGAATGTAGTAGGGTGCCATGACAAATCGACAAGAATTGAATGAACTCTTGGTGAGCTGCAAACACATAGTTCTCTCTCTCAATCAAGGAATGGGAGAAAGGTGGCAAGTGATCCAGACTTCGTCTTCTTTCTTGCATGATGAGTGTGCATAAGCAAGACGAAATAAACTTTTACTTCATAGACCCTACTGCACAATTTGGTCCCTCAAAAACACCAAATGTTCTTTTTCCAAAATTAAACTATATATGCCCTATACAAATTGGACAATTGTTTCATGCAGGCTCAACCGCATTTCTACAGGATGTAGTCCCAATGTATAAAGCATCCATCTTAAAGATGGATGCATATAGGTGGTCCATCTAAAAAAATTGAAACTAAGGATCCAAAAGTTTTCTCAATAAAATTATTATTTATAATTTCAAATTTTTTATTTTATTTTATTTTTTTTTCATATTCATGACCTCCATGTTAAAGATTACATGTCTTTAAAAATTAAGTCCAAGACTCCATCTCAAAAATAGATTTTTTAAGAAGTGACTCATTTCTACATGGACTCATATAAGCCATGTCCATACAAATTACAACTACTAAATATAATCCCCAAGATCAAACTCAATGACCTATCCAAACAAAAAAGAGAAATTAAGAATAACTATATTAACATGCATAATTCCAGAAACACTAAATTACTTCAATTTTGGCATCTTCGGAGAAAAGCTGGTTGCCGACCAATAATACCAATGGAAAAGTATCCCAACCACGTCATGTTGACAGTTCAATAGGTAACGAGTACCCTTTTCAGTGGTTGAGATTTCAGAAGGATATATGTATTATATTTGTTACTTTTTTTAATAATTGGTATATTTATCAGAAATTTAGGATATAATTTTTTTTTATAAAAATAACTAAATAAAATAATTATTTTAAATAAAAACAACCAAAATACCATTAAATAATTTTGATCAATATTTTTGTTCAAAATATTTTTTATTATTTTTATTTAATTATCCTTAAAAAATGAAGCTAAAATCAAAATTCAAATAAATAAAAATTTTAAAGTAAAAATAATCAATAAAAAATGAAATTAATTTTTGGCCTTTATTTGAGGCTGGGTTCAATCCGAACTTTTAAAAGGTTGTTGTACATATTTTTTATAGGTGCGCCCCTATAAGTAGATGGTACGTACCAAATTTCATATTCATACAATTTGTATAAAAAAACTAAAAATAAAATTCTTTGAGATGTCGGATCTAAGATCAAATGGTGAGTGACTCTCTTGATCAAAATTGGACGGCTGGATGGTAGGGGAAGAATAAAACATGATATTTTTTATTTTTATCCTCCCATGAAAATAGAAGGGAAAGCATTCCACAAGGTTGCGGCCCATAAAGATAGTTTTGGCGGTAGTAAATTTGCAAATTGATCATCTTAACCGTGGCAACCATAGATTAAAAAAAAAAATTCAAACCTTAAAAGTACCTTTTATCTTGTTTTATGGACCGTCCATTTCAGGTATTCATAAATCTACTAGATCTACCCCATTTTTAGAGTTTGAAGTAGCGGGAGTGCGTCTTTACACCAGGAAAATTGTTTCATGAAACAGCGGGTGCAAGAGCCCGCTAACATACAAATGTCAAGATGGACGTTATTTAAAGTGTATTATTCACAAATAAGATATGGACGGTGCATAAAAAAATACTAGAAAATTATATTTTAAATTTTAGAAGTTTATCTTTCTTTCCATATATATGATCTTCTTGGCCTAGATAATGAATCTACAAAAAAAACAATCAGGAAAAATTATCTAAAATATTTTTTAGTAGGGGGCGCATATGTACATGCGAGTCGGCTGACTCATAGAAACCCCATCCTTTACACAAATATCATAAAACTGCCGTAGTACAAAAACCCAAAGAAAATAAAAACAATCACATTATAGACTTCAAGTGTGGATTAATGGGGTTTGAGCTTCGACGTTAGTGTTGCTGCCTCGAATGCCGTAGAACTGTGGGCAAGGCCTGAAACGGAATCCATCTTAATGGCATATTTGATTCATCACGTAAAACAATTCGCTCGTTAGATTTGGGATTATTTTTTCATCAACTAGCTTTTTAATTAGTGTGAAAAGATACATTGGAATTAATTGGTGTAAAAATATTTCCAATCACATAAGACAATTCTTTCACAAGAAAATATTTTCCAAAAAATATTTTCACACGAAGCAAACATGCCCTAAAATTGTGTCAAGTCACCTATGAATGATTTTGACAGCTCGGTTGGGAATGTGGTTATTATAACCTTTAACTACACAAACGACTGAACCTCTCCCTCTCTCTCTATGTACCAGGCTGAACCCTAAGACCCCAAATCTACCCTCGATTGAACACCACAAATAGAAAGAGAGAGAAAGCTACTTGGTTGAACGCTA